AACTGTTCGTGTGTCCCCCCATATCAATTTATTAATGCATCTACCCATCCATCCATCAATCGATCGCGATACCTAGTGTGGGGAGCAGCACTCCGTTCAAGAGTACAAATGAGAGTGCGCCACGAGCGTGCGCCCGCCTGGCAGGATCAAGTTCCCAGGTCCCGTCGGAAGCGCGAATCGCACCGTACCGCATCGCACTAAATGCTGCCTTTATGTACCTAAGACACACTCGTCGCATGGCCGTGCATACATACTTAGGTGTGCTTCCCACGGTGATTATAGCCTGTCCGTATCTGCTGAGATTATAGGACCGGACAAAACAGGACAGGTGGGACAGGACAGGAAGCAAGCATGGAAAGTGTCAGATACCGACTGGGAAAAAAAAGCAGGAAGAAGAAGAAGGAATGGAAGGAAGGAACGGAAAACCCGACCACGCAGCTCTCTAGAGTACGCTCCGTTCCCAATCGGAAAACTCCTTTCACGCCCCCGCGGAAACTCAAGGTGCATCCGACGACTCTGCCCCCCGCCGGAGTCTCGTCGGAGTCTCGAGGACCAGTACCGGCATCATTCCAAACAGGACTGAAGTGGGTGACACGAGTCCTCTGACTACTGCGGCAATTTGGTCTTTCGATTCCGCTGGGATTCCTCGGCGCGGGCTGACGGATATGCCGAGGGCGTTACTAGTGAGTACGCTTCCGAGTGGTACGTACAGTACCTACGGTCGGAAGTGTGGAAAAAACGGAGGGCGGCTGCGCTGGCTACTCTGGTCGTCGACGATGTTGATAGGGTGTGGTTTCATGGTGGTGCTGGTGCTGCCGGTGGTCGTGTCGATGGACCGGACGCTACTACTCAACAATTCGCCGAACTCTCGGCGACGACGTCTGGAGTAACTACTCTATCTGCCATCTACCTATGCGTTCAACCCTAACCCGACGCCCGGTATCTCCCCATAGTTAACTCATAACTACCTTTCGGAAAGCGTGCGGATACCTACGTGTGAGCACTCTATGTTTGTACAATACATGCCGAGTGAATAGAGGCGTAATCAAATGGGCGATAAAGGTGTATCCAACCAGGATACGCGCGTGCCCGACGAGGGAATCCCACATAGGTACTCTACGCCTCGGTATGCAAAATCGAAACAGCTCCTCTCGATGGCCACAACATCGGGTTTCGGTAGATCCGTACTGGAGGAGACTATTCATACATACATATATACATACATGCGTGTGGGAGGGGAAAATGGCAAAATGTGAGATGATTCCTCGGGACTTCTCGATGCGCATGTATGATGCGGGAGCTACCCATCTCGGTGCATCTACATGCCTATGCATAGAAAACGCAGCTTGGAGTAGCAGTAGCATCTTAGCATCTTGTCGTCTTGGCCCCTATCTTAGCATCTATCTTAGCATCTTAGCATCTTGTCATCTTGTCATCTTAGCCTCTAGTATCTATCTAGCAGCTTAGCACCTCACATAGCACTTTAGTTAGCACCTTTAGAGCACTTTAGCATGTTAGCACCTTAGCGAAAATGTAAGCCGACCCATATCAATTCACCGGCATTCTCCGATGTGTTCGTGTGTGTTCGATGGGCCGCTCAAAGTGCTGCCAACCATTCGTCCGACTGGCCGGAACGATGCACACTACATGCATACATTTCTTCGTAGCTTGGACCCCTTTTTGACGGCTGGCATTGCAGTTGCATACGCCGGATACTTCGTGTGTGCCGAAAGAGAGAACCAACTATCATAACTAGGCTGACGCTCTGTGCTCGCAGGAAACTATGCACTGGTACTGACTTATGTCGATATGTAGAGTACACAAGTAAAAGTAAGAACTTTGGTTATAACCAAGTGAGGAGGTACTTATGTACCATACACATATACATACAATTGTACGGCAACCACTCGCATTTAATCACTATGCACACACCCGCCAGGCCAGGCCGATGGGATGGGATACACACCCTCACCGGACGCCAAGCGTTCCATACCACCACCACCGATAATGCCACCCACGTCAATCGATCGTTGATGGGGAGATACGTCCCCACAGGCACTGGCTGCCCTCTATCGCCTATCGCGAGAAGGGGGGCTTCGTATAGGCACAATATCTTCCCCTTCCGGAGTCTAGCAGACGCACTGAGTTTAGAGTGCCGAGTGCGTCGAGGGTTGTTGCGAGTCACGGTCAGTGAGTATCGTCGGCGCAGTCACGGGAGAGAGTGGGGGTGGATTTGTATTGAATGGGCTGGTATGTTATGTGCCTCTATACTTGGTAGAGTACTTGGTTTACTCGATTCTGTCCGCGGTAGATATTGTTATTGTTGTTATTGTTGTTGTGCGTGCGGCGCGGCGCGGTGAATGCAACAACTGGGCCGGACCGTGGTGGCCGTGTGTCTTGCCTTGCTTTGCTTTGCGTTGCGTGCCTTGCTAGCCGGCCGCCGGCGTCCGCTGCGGTTCCCAAAAAATAAATTAAAATAAATTCCCCCTTTCTATCTCTCTCTCTCAGTCCCACGGTCCATTCTCACGACGCTTACAGCGGCTGGCAAGTTATATTCCACGGCTGTTGCGTGCGAGCCATGTACATATGTAGTCTATGTACTTACATACATACATAGGGTGCCCTGTGTGTACGGTATCAGCCTCGGGCCGGTGTAGATATCTCTCCTAAATTCCTAGGAAAATTCTCCCCCCCTCCCCCCCTCGAGGCTTCTCCGGGGGTCTCACCTGGGTAACCTGCCTACCTACCTGGTACTCCGTAGAGGGTAGGTGGTTTGCGCAATCGGCCGCCACGCAGCAGAGTTCTGCCTTAGCAGCCCACTTCCACTTATCAGTAACACATGGTTTGGGCCGCGTGCTGGTACAGAGTCGAGTAGAGTACGGCAGAGTAGAGTAGATACAGTAGAGTAGATACAGTAGAGTAGAGTAGAGTACCGCAGACTGCAGGGTGTATTACTCTGTAGAAAGCAAGTAATTGATCCTGTATGTATGTGCGTACTCTACCCATTCTACATACATGCCCACTGGGTATATACGCAAGTTACCTACTTGGGTAGTGGCCCAAGCCTCAAGGTCCGGGTCGCAACTTGCCCTCTGGAGTCTGCTCCACGCCATTCGCCATCCAACTCGGAAGTCCCGTAACAGCATAGGGCGGCTGGGCAAGTGCATCAGCGAAGAAAATAAATAAAAGAAAATAGGAGAACATAAAAGGGAATAAAAGAAAATGCCAAAAAAATAAAAAATGGGGTGGGTGGACGATGCAATCCGGAGAATGTGTCTCAACCCTGACGACTACCCATGTGCATCCATACCACGGGGCCGACTGCTCTGCGCCGCTCTACTCTGCTCTGCTCTGCTCTGCTCTACGGTACTTGGTACATACATCCTACTCTACCGTACTCTGCTCTACTGTCGCCCCCAGCAGGCAGGCAGGCCCCACCAGAGGCCGTCCCGGTTCTTCAGATATAGAGTATGACTTGCAGCCGATGCGATCGCTTCACGAGAAAAAAAACTAAAAACCAAAAAAACAGTCGTCTGGCGGGCTCCGGTCCGTGATTGGCTGGATTGACGTCGTGGCGGGTATGGCTGCCACTTTCTGCTTAAGCCCAGCGTCCTCCAGAGGCAACCATTCGCCGGCAGCAGTTCGCCCCCATGCCAGAAAGAAAAATAGCCATCGCTCATCGTCGTCTCGTCTGGGGAAGGGGGGTGGGGGAAGGGATCACCAACTCCCATGCCGTCCAAGCCCACACCCACACCAGGAAACGGCTGTTTATCGCAACGCCACCAACATGACAGGGCTACATATCTCCAGTCGGGCATGCGGTGCTTGTGGCGCTGCATCACAATAGCAACAACATCAGCCTTAGGTATGTATTGGTACTGGAGTATGTACCTATGTACCTATGTACCTACCTACATGCTCTACTCTACATCTTGCAGCTTTCAGCAGCGGTGGTAGATCTTGGGACGGGGTGCAGCAATATCGTGAGCATCTTAATGGGCATTCCATGTTGTCTCTCTCTGCTGAGTGTGGTCTAGAATAGTACTCTACACGTCTACAGCCGCAAGGAATCTCCAAGGCTGGACGTGTAGTGTTGAAATATACGGATAGAACGACCGAGATGATTGATTCGATACAGCAAAAACCCTATCGCCAGCAGTGAGGCCTCTCTTTATATACAAGGCTGAGGTGCCGCCTAAAGTTCGCCGCGTAACCATATGCTCGTCGATACTCGGTCTCTACCGTCCAACGCGAAACCTTAGTCGTGCCGACGTCCCCGGGCGTCCAAACTTTGATATGTAGCATCCGCGGGCAGGCTCCGTTCGAAGGCATGCGCCGAGCCTTGCTCCCGTTCTAACAGGATCCTATATCGCGTACCTACTCCAAGTATACGGGCTGGATAATGTATGTTGCACGCCGCCGCCTGCCATAGTATGTCCCACCACCATCACCACCACAACCATCACCACCATCACCACTACCACCATCACCACCACCACCATCACCACCACCACTACCACCTCCTCCTCCTTCTCGTCCTCCGCCTCCTCCGCCTCCAACTCCTCATCCTCCTCCTACATAAGTTCAATACCACCACCACCACCACATCCTTACCGTACGTACAGGCGAACCTCCTGCATGCAGGCTGCGCTACTGCACCTCTTCCCTCCCACCACCACTTCCACTCTCCCAGCACCATTCGCTTCATCCTCCCGATTACCCAGGTACACTGATCCCGGTTCTTGTACCAGTCTGCTCCGGTATCCCCCCCTTCCTAATTTACTTGATATTTTTTTATTTTTTTTGCGTCTCCTTCTGAGCTGCTTTTGCTTCTTGTATGTAGTGCTCACATGGCCCGTCTATTCGGTCCCGCCTAGGGCTTGACCTCCACCCCAGTGCGTCACAATTGGCCAATTCAAGCGCTTTCTTCGGAGATCTGCTCACTGCTCAGCCCATGGCCTTCAATGATTCGTCATATGTCTATCAACACCACCCCCCCCCACCCCCAACACGGTATCCCGTCTGTCTATTGAATAAATAGACCCATCGTTCCCTTCCGATTCTACCCTTCAAGGTCGATTATCTTCGTATCATCTCAGCCGTTAACTCAGCTGTCACCGTCGTCAAATCGCCCATCGAACTTTACAACAATGGAGAAAGTGCAAGATTCGCCACCGCCGAGTACGGCGACGACTGTTCCTCCGCCGGATAACGATAAAAACAATGTTCCGGAGACGCCAACATCCCCCGGAGCCTCCCTCTTCGACGGACTGGATCAGAAGGAGATCGAACGCCTGGGAAGAGCTCGACCAGAATGCTTCAAGACCCAGTGGTCAGAGATTGCCTTCATACTGTCGATATGCATGTCTCAGATCTTGGTGGTTCGTACTCGAAGAAACTGCTCCCCACTCATTTTTGGAACATTCGCTCACTCTTCCCCTTACAGGAGTACTTCGTTTCTGGATTCAATGTGCTGGTACCGACGGTTGTCGAAGCTCTTGATATTCCACCAGCATCGGCAACTTGGCCGGCATCAGCTTTCTCTCTCGTCATATCCTGCTTCTTGCTGCCGATGGGCAGGCTTTCCGACATGTACGGTGGCAAGCGGTTGTTTGTCATCGGCGTGGGATGGCTCGTTATCTGCAGTATAGTGGCGGGAGTGGCCCAGACGGAACTGATGTTAGATCTCGCGCGAGCATTGCAAGGTCTCGGGCCCGCTGCTTTTCTCCCGAGCAGTGTCATGCTCCTTGGAAGCGTTTACCGTCCTGGGCCTCGGAAAAACTTGGTTAGTCAAAACCTCCCCCCCCCCCCCCACACACCGCTCCATCCCCTAATCGGGGAGGAGGGGGGGACCGGGAGTCTGTTCGCCGGCTAGAGGATCTTGGCAGCTGACTTGAACGCTCGCTTTTCAGGTGTTTTCGGTTTACGGTGCCTGTGCTCCTCTGGGTTTCTTCGTGGGAATCTTTTTTGCGGGACTTGCAGCGCAACTGATGAGCTGGCGCTGGTACTTCTTCATCGGTGCAATCCTGAGCGCAATCTCATTCTTCCTCGCATATGCGTCCATGCCGTCGGACACCGATGAACGCGCGGCACTGGGTATCAAGATGGACTGGCCGGGTACGGTTTTGATTGTATCGGGACTTGTTCTAATAGTGTTTTCCTTCACCGCATCGCCAAGTGCTCCGCAGGGCTGGAGGACGCCGTACATCCCTGTCACTTTTTGCGCGGGAGTTGTGATCTTGGCGGTTGCCACGTGGTGGGAGGGCTGGATGGCCGAACAACCATTGTTGCCCGTCGAAATCTTCAAGGTCGATACATTCCCCGCGGTCGTCGGTGCCATGTTCATGCAATATGGTGGTCTGGGCATCTTTTTGCTCTATACCACTTACTAGTACGAAAACCCTCTTGTCCCGAAAAAAAGAGCTTCACTGACGCCGCCCGCAGCATGGATGCGATTATTGGAGGAAGCCCGCTACAGATCGTGGCCTGGGTCTCTCCCATGTGCATTGGGGGCATCATCATCGCGGCAGCTGGCGGATTCGTGCTTCACTTACTCTCCGGAACCATTTTGATGCTCATTGCGGGAGTCTCCTGGGTCATCGCGCCGTTGCTATTCGCCATTATGCCATCAAATGCCTCCTATTGGGCCTTCGTTTTCCCGGCAATGGTTACAGCAACGATCGGAATCGATATTAGCTTCAACATCACCAACATCTTCATCACCACCTGCCTTCCGAAGCGGCAGCAGGGTCTTGCCGGTGCAATGTGAGTTATATCCCGGATCTAATATTGCGTCTTATTGCGGTAGCTAACGTCATCTCCCCCACTCAGAATCAACTCCAACATGCATCTCAGCATCGCCTTTTTCCTTGGTCTCGGCGAAATCTTGGCCCACGAAACCAGACATCACGGCCTCCAGCAGAGCTACCGATACGTCTTCTGGTTCGAAGTTGGACTCGCTGGGGTTGCCCTTCTGATCATGCTCGCATTCGTCCGGTTGGACAGAGCCAAAAGCGACATGACTGCCGACGAGAAGGAACGTCTGAAGAAGATGCAGCTCGAGGCCGAAGCGTCCGATTCCGAATAAGCTTCAATCCTCAACCTTCGATTTACTTTTTTCTTTTCCGTTCCATCTTTTTCTTTTCTTTGTTTGGATTAGGGGGTTTAAATTGGTTTCATCTGGGTCTGGTTTCCTATTAGGGTTTTTTTCTTTTGGAGATGCATGCTTTGACTCTGGGACAACCACCGTCGGGCGGTGCTAATGCACTAATTCCTGTACAGTACGATAACTTTACGGAGTCAAAAAGTGGTTGGATGGGGGAAATTTGTTTTTTTTTCTTTCGGTTTTCTTTTTAACCTCCTCTTTGCTCGTGTTTTAATCATAGGAAAAAAGAGGTGGAGGTGGGATCTCATACGGGATTGGTGGAGAGACGAGGCATTGCCGGAGGGACCGGGATGAGGTGATGCGCATGTATATCCATGGCTTGGATGACATGTGGTCGTAGGGGATGGGGTGCCGACGAGAGGACTACATCTACCGACTCACCAGCTTTTTTACGCCGGAGTCGAATGGACTCTTACTGTAACAACTCAATCGATAGCTATATAGTAATACATACCTTCGTTGGACCTATCTCCAGCCCGTTAGCTTTAACCGGTAGCCGATCAACGACGCAGTCAGCTCTGCACCGCACCGGTAGTTGAATGGTTGAATGGCTGCGTGTGTTTTCCGCACGGGGATACCAGGTGCCGCGGTGCACCGGCATATGAAGTACTTGCCTATAGATACTTGTGTATATGAACAGAGACACAACCGAGTGCGTATGAGGATTATGATCATTAGGTATGTATGTATGCACATATACATGCATGGCAAACACAAGGAAGGACCAGAGGATCACGGAGCAACGGTCGGTGGGATTCGTGCGCACCCCATGTAATGCATTCTGTATGGGTAGCATACCAACACGTATTATTTCGTGCCGGCATGTACCTCCTTGCGGGTATACCTCTCCCTTCCCCTCCATCCATCGCTGCAAAAGGGTGAGGGGGGTGGGGGTTACTAATTCTTTCCGCGCGGGCGCGCGCGTTGGCGCCTCGCCTCCATGGGTAGAGTACGGATGCAGTGGAATACCGGTAGGTATATAGCGCCCGCACTTGGCGCACCGGCACCGGGACAATCGTGGTAGTTAGTAGTAGATTTCGATTGCCGCGGGATGGATCAGGTGCAGCAAATGTCATCATCACCGGCAGGACCAAGTCGGGCATCCAGCGAGAGATCAATGTGTGGTGTGATAGTGGAACACCTCAGCATACCTACCTACGTGCGTAAAGAAACTCACGGAAGAGATGAGATCATGGTGGTGGTGTTGGTAGTGTTGGTGGTGACGGTGGTGATGGTGGTGTTGGTAGTGTTGGTGGTGACGGTGGTGATGGTGGTTGTGTGCAGACAATACCCGACTGGACTACAACCCGATCCTTCCATCCACGCATCCATCCGCCTTGCGACTGCTACCCCCGCAACGATGGCCGGATTGGAATATGTCCTCGTGTGTCGACTCCTGCTTGTCGTTGGTCTCACTTCTTGGTGAGGGGAAGGATGAGGTATCGACAGCTTCCAGCAAAGCATGCGGTTGGGTATCACCTTTCCACGGCGAGATGAGTAGATATGGAATACTCTAGAGCATCTGCAGAAAAAATACTATATAGCTATAGATGATCTATATCGAGTCAATATGAACTCAAGAATGCGTGTAGTTCGCCAGTCCTAGTTGCCGCTTCCGTAGTCTGCTGCTTTTCCTGGGAACCTATCATTGCCAGCAGCCCCACACCACTCGCCGTCGCGGAAGGCAGCGACTTCTATGTACTCTACATACATACATGGTGGCCCGGGATTAATATCATCGCACCCTGGTAGCTACGGCGGGAGAGCAAGATCGCTGGTCGATGGCCACCACATACATGTTATACCTAGACTAACGGTGGCCAGCCAGCCGTCCGTCATCAATTTTTGGCTGGCAAAAGCTGTGGTGGGAAAAAATATGTGTTGTTCGGTTAGGACTGCGGTCTAGCCTGCGTCTAGAGCGTTTGGGGCAGGCAGGCCGCGGAGAGAGGGAAACCAAGTGCCGTATGTACGTACCTCATGGTCCATGCTGGACCAAGTATTGGATGGAAGCTCGTCCACTCTCCAACGGAGAATGATTCTCACTGTCTCGGTGATGACGCACGCAGAATTTGCCGGACGGAAAACAGGTTGGCATTGCTAGAGAGGTCGCCGGTGCAGTGGGGCCAGAGCACCACATGTTGGAAAACCCACCGGGTTTGGTATTGCCTCCATACTCCATAGATACTCCATTCTCGATTATGCAGAGTGCTCTCGAGTCTCGAAGGCCCCCCCCGGGCCCCCGGCGTCCCGAATACGCCGGCGTTGCCAAGTGGTTGGATAAGCGGCGTGCGATGACTGGCAGCGCTTACCGCCGTCGCTGCCCCGGCTGGACGCTTGTCTGGAAAATCGAGCCAATTGATATTTCGCTCCCAGATGATGAGGGATCCCTACCTACTATACTCACCTTGTGACTCATTGGACGTCGTCGATCAAACGAAAACGGTAGAGATCACGATCGAAGGAGCGACTCCGCCGAGGCGAAGCATGAGGGATGTCTTTGCAACTTGGCACGATGCGGGTCTATCACGGTATTGCGAACGACCACGTCAATCCCCGAGGTCCAAGGTGAGAAGCAGTCCGAAAGAGTATCCCGTGCTGGGCTGGGCCTTCATACTGTGAACATATCATTTGCAGACCGAGAGACGACTTCCGGGATCATGACTCTCTACTAACTACTCCAGCCGTTAACTTTGCACTGCAGCGGCAGCAGCATCAGCAGCAGTGGCACCTAATTCCCACAAACAACTGCATGTTCGCAGTCACCATCTAAGTTCCCGCATCTCAAATTGCCTTGTTTACTCACCGCTGAGGACGGCATTTTTCTTATCTTTATCGCTCAGTTTCTTTCTTGACGCGTGCTCACCGCATATCTATCTACCATGTTGGGTATCTCCAGTGACTTTTGTGGCTTGAGAAAAAGCAAACCTGAAGCGTCTAAAGCTTCTGGGTGGTGCACCCCCCCGCATTTCCGCTTGACAGCGGAGTACCTACCTACAGGCAGGCGGCGGGGCGGGTGTGCCGACCGGCCTTACATACGGCAAACAACTGCGCTCGTTATCTGTGCTTCCGGAAAGTGTGTGTGCGTGTGTGCCTGTGGGGTGTGCAGGCTAACTACCTACTACTGCTTGGTTCTCCCTGCGATACCCAGTCCAGCCCAGCGTTTTAAAGCCAGCGCAGGGGGGAAAGAGTGAACGAGTGACAAAGGTGAACGACAAGCAAGCAGAAGCCGGTAGATCGTTCGTGGGCCCTCTCGCTCACCGGACAGGACAAAAGATGAATCGAGTCGGATCACGCGAAAGAAAAGGAAAAAAAACACGAATTGCCCACCTGACGACCTTTCCTGAGCCTGGTCGGCTGATTTTCCCTCACGGCTTCGCTCGCTCGCTCGCTCGCGCGGGCGACTTCAGATGCACTCGTCGACGGTCGACCCATTGCCTGGATCTTGCTTTCTTTCTTTCAAACTTGGTGAATCAGAGCACAATGCCCCCACATACGTATGTCATGTAATTGCCTGGACATAGACGCCGAAAAGGATTTTCGAAGGAGAAAGCATGGTAGGTGGTAGGTGGTGGTAAGCCCGCCGCGGAGAACAGAACTTGAGCGCGTGCATCACAGTGGGGGCGAGTTATGTTCTCGGAATCACCCCCAGTACACACCATCCCCAGTCCGTCACGAATTTTAAGCTTCTTTTTTTTTACTCCCTCGGGCCGTGCCAATTGTGATGGTGGCTGCGTGGAACAATAATACTCGCAACTATTACAATGACCTAAGAAGGTTCTTCATAGCCCCTCACTCATAGCGCTGAAACCGAACACTCGATTAGATTTCTCAACCCGGGGTTTGAGATCGCGGATCTTACCGGTTTTACAAATTTGTCTGGGCGAACCCCAGGCTGTGACGAAAAAAAATCCATGTCCCACAGCGAAAAAGAAACTCGGGTGATAAGTAATGCAGGTCGTCCCCACGCGACATCCACCCCCCCGCGAGCCGCTTCCGGTTTTGGCCACAATGCCGAGTCCCCCCTCCCCCCGTGTTGATGGGCAGGGATACGAGCGAACTTCAGCGGGCTACTCACACGAGACCGACCATTGGGCCACCGGAAAACAGCGTGCCGAAGCATGATCGATCCCAGCCACACCAGCAGACAAGCGAAAAACAGGTCAGCGGCGGGCGGCAAAGTCCGCGGTCCGCAACATGATGTCGAGCATCATCGTGATCTAGGCAGGGAGACATCGTCCCGTCAGATTTCAATTTGACCCTATAATACCTAGAGTACTCTCCCTCAACCAGGCAGAGCTATATCTAGCCGCGAGTGATGAGGAATTATATTCGATCTGGCGGAGTGCTCGAGCTATCGGCCGCGCCGCTCGTATCGTGGGCGCGGCCGGCGTTTATTAAACACTCGCCAGCACGTTGCATTGTAGTTTTTTGCTTATCTAAATGTTTATGGATATTCGAGTCCCGTGGGGTTGCTTTTTAAAAAAATAGAAAAATAAATAATAATAATAATAATAATAATAATAATAATAATAATAAGTGAATCATTCCACGTATGTTCGACCGTTTCCCGTGCTGGCAGCTATTGTAGTCTACGCCCAGTACCATCTCCTCCAAGTCCAACTTGGCTTCTCCGCCTCATTGCGAATTTCCGCCCAAAAGGTGCTGACATAATGTCAAAGAAACTGGCACGACACTGATGTCTCCATGCGCGATACCCGGCGATCGTCTTATTCCTCTTATTCCTCGTCTTCCTCCGGCACCGATGTGTTGAGAGAGTCCAGTACACCTAGGTAGGCCATACCGTTCATCCGCAATGATACTCAGACATCTGGACCTCGGCTCTTTTCCGCACTTCGTCCTCCGCTGGACCTTTGCCACACAGAAGTGTGTGTTCCGACTCTCAAGTACGCGGTGCCACTTCTCCTCGTGCGCACTTGACCAACATCTATCGCGTGCTTCGCAAAAGTGCTTGGGAACCCCATCGTTCCAAGACCAGTAATCCGACCGACTGATGGATACTTTTGTTGTCCTGGTGGCCTTGGTACTGGACCAAGGTGGACAGAACACCCTTCTTCAAATTATCGATGATCTGCAACTTCCACACCAGGAGTCATGTACCGAGAAGTACCCTCTATGGTTAGTCGTGTCTACAAACCTCCCCCTTCTCTCTAACGTGACCACATGAATCTCGGCCACCACTACCCGACATCTCAAGGTGAAGACAGAGCGAAAACATTCGCAGTCGTTTCCAGCTTCACCGTCCGGGTCGTTTGAGATCTTTGTGGTGTCATGGGGCGCATATTCGGGCTGTGTCCTCGGAGGTCCCATGTGGAATGACCAACTTCTCCGCTCGGGCAGCTCAGTCGCCCTAGCCGTACCGAGCTGGTACCTTTACAGTTAAAGGGTAATTGTAGGGTTTTACTAACCCTCGGGTATCCAGGTCGCCGAAGCAAGATACAGCACAGATGATCACTCGCGACTCCCCCCGCTACCCAATGTTCCGCCATGTGATTCCGCCACAGGAGCCAGCAGCGGATACTCTGAAAGCGAGCCAGGAAAGAGACGGCCCGGGGAAAGCATCGCTTCAGAATCCGCCACCTCTTCCCTGACAAGCGCTGCAGCGACGCAATCCTGGAGTTCCTAGCAACAACGGATGTGGGGTGACCAGCTCTCCCGGTTAAGGAATAGTTGGCCAGCGAGTCCACGGCTAGACGGTGTGGACAAGTCGAGCTGCGGCTCGGAAGATATTATCAGCCGCAGAACCTCGGTGCTATCCTGACGTGAGGAGTCTCTTCATTGTACATACCTACGGGTGCCAGTTCTCGACCTAAATGGGTCGAAGCTACCCGGGGCGCTTCGCCGCCAAAACACTTTTAGGTAAAATGCAATAACGAAGCTTACCTACCGGTGGTGTTTTCAAGCCCGTGTCTGAACCCTCTGCATCCGGCGGCACACTTACACACAGCACAGCGCATCTGAATACGGCGGTACAGCATCTCAACGCCCGTTACCGGCCTGCGTCGCCATGACGCCAGTACGGGGGGCGGAGGTCAATCACAGTAAAGCGAGAAACCGTTGGATACCGACCTAGACTATTGGTCTACTATTCTTGCGAGCAATACCGGCACTCCAGACTGGCACAATCTCCCATCCGGTACCGGGAAACCGCGTCGTTAGTTTCACTCAGTACCGAGTGGGACTGTTCGGTACCAGACGGCCTGGTTATGCTCATATCGGTGCAGCCAACGGTACCGTCCCCATCCGGGACTGCCCCGGTCTGTCCCGGGAAAGCCCTTCACTGGTAGCCAGAACACGTTGAGTTGTTCGAATGGCCTTGTGGACTCTGCCATTTCTCGACTGAGATGGTGTTCTCAATGTTAGTGAATGCACTAAATTATCTCTGGGAAGATGGTTTTAACTGTAAAGAGTCGAGTGACTTTGACATGTGTAATTACTTCTATGACCCTACCCACCGTATACGAATCTAATTCTAGGATTATTTCAACATACATTATAAAGCTCAGTGCGAAAGAAAAAGACGCTCTGGATAAGGATACCAGAATCAATACAGGCCAGCCGTAGAAAAAAGATTCGACAGCCCAAATTGGCGGGCCGTGGACGAATACTAAATTTGACAGATTTTCGCGCGAAGCTCAGAAGATACACCTTCTCCCACCAATAGCACCGCCCAGCTTTGGACTCTGTGTTTGCACAGCATCGAACAAACTCTTCGCGGAGTCGGTTCGGGTGTGCGAATGAACCTCCTTCACTAATTCCACCCTTCTCGCACTGTTTCCCAGGTTTTGTTCGCGGTCAACATTCACTATCGGGACTCCATGCCGAGAGGGACGTCGCGGGACTCGTGAGTAGGCATGCTTTGGACTCGTGATTGTACTGTCGAAAGCATGGACCACAGAAACATCGCTGTCACCGCGGAAGTGACGCGGCTCTGGTAAGGTGTCCCGGTGTCTCGGAGGCGGAGGCGAGCTGGACGGCGCGGGTGAGCTGAGCAAGCCGGCCATAAGGGACGTGATCTCCTCTCCTAGTCGATGGAGATTATTGGCACCGACAGTGCTAGCCGAGAATCGGCTTCGATCGGGGAATTTAGGAGGCTGCAACGCATTTTCGGAATCTCGGACCCTGGGTTGAGGCGATGTGCCTGCAGGTCTGTCGTCATCCCCGGAGGAGAAGTCACTGGGAGCTTTGTCGATGACCACCGGCGGTTCAGTGAGACAAGGCGGTCCGGATATGAATGTATTTCGCGCCCGAAGGTAGAGGTGCAGGGTACTGGCGATGATACCCGAAGTATTGATAACCACCGCCGACAGGAAAGAGAGCTCTCGGACCGTCGTGCCCTGCGAGACGACGATGAAGTTGGGCAAGAGAAGGATCTGTCTCGGGGTCAGCTTACTCTTCAGGTGAGGTGAGGTGCCTGCCGATCAGTATACACACCCATTGTAACATCAGGGCAGCGATGAAGTAAAGCTCCCGACTCGCCGACATTCGACCTTCGAGGTCAACCCGCGTCTGCCTGGACAAGTTTACACAGATAACCGCGGCCAAACTAGCTGTCACGAGGAGCGCGGCGACTAGCACTACGGCTCCGATGCTTGCGAACCCGCCTACGAGCATCATCAGCTCTCCGGAACAGACTTGGCGGTCATCCTTCCATGTTCTGAGCCATACGGGGAGCATGGTAAGGACAAGCAGCAGGACAAGCCCGCAGAATATGAGGAATACACGCTTTATGGACCGTGGTTTGAACCGGGGAGAACAAACAGCTCTCAAGCCCGTATCGACTATAAAGACGAGAGCGGTATAACTTGGGATCCACGTCGCTACATCGTCAGTGCAAGGTAAAATCCGGCAAGGAGGAAGAGGTCACCTATCCATGCCACAACCGCCCACTGCTCGCACATCCTATACCCTCCCAAGCCCTGACTCTCCACAATCGCTAACATTACGCCCTGCGCAAATACCGCAATGCTGAAGATCAATGGAAACAATTCCTTCCCGGATAGCAACTCCCACCACCCGGGGGCCGTGAGCAACCCAGCCTTCTCTAGGTCCCGTGAAGTTGTACGGGCATTGTATGCGTCCCAGCAGATTCGTGCGCCCAACGAGACGGACGAAGCGATGTTGATTCCAGTCAATATCACTGTCGCCATGCGAAGTTGGTAGTGCTGATCGGGCCCGGGGGAGCCGGGGGCGGGAGGGTGCATTATTTCCGACGAACAGACGGCCGGCAGGCGGCGGCGGACGGTTTTTGAGAGCGAGAGCGAGGGTTATAGGTGGAATCGATGGAGTTAATTCCCTTCGGGAACAGCGAAGGACGAGGTTTTCAACCTTCTGGACGCAAAAATTTGTGGTGCCTGGCACCGAGCAAAAGCACATGGCTCGTTTAAAAGCCGCCTGGATCGTCGCGATTAGCTGGGATTAGCGCTCGGGCACTTGGGACCTGTTAGACATGGTACACTACCAAGACGTTTCAAATAGCGGCCAAGTTGGAAGTTGGGACGGGCTGGTTGGTCGGAACGGGTTAATTGACAGGTTGCAAGGCTTGACCGCCACGTGAGTGGGAGCACGAACCATATCAGGCCACAGATATATGTTCGCAAATGGTTAATCAGCCCGTCGATTGGCTGAACTTGAAGACGCGTCCCGTGCGGGACTCCTTGCTCAGGAGCTGGTGGCTTTTGGCCTTACCATCCCGTCGTCTCCTTTTTCTATAGTAGCACTATGCGGGTAGATGATGGATTCGTGGATCTAGTACGTCATGTGTCTGTTGCTCGCCACCATCACTGATCGCAGATCGATCTCCGCAGGCCACGGTTGGGACTCGGGGTTACATGTATTGTACGTTGAACATTCTTCACATGGGCTGCTCACTGACCGTAGAAACTGTCATGATCTGCATGGTGGACATGTCAACGAGTTCTCCGGTCGATTTCAACACACGAAGGTCGATTCCTTACTCTTTCCACGTATCTTTCTCGATCCGCAGATGGCATAGCGCATGCCAAAAACATCCCGCGTGTTTCGAAGCCCACGTTGTATGAGTGAAGATTCTGCAGATCTGAAACATCTCCGTTTCACGCAACAGCCGTTTAACCGTTTGGTTAGGCGGGATAGGTCCGCGTGGGAAGCGAGAATGCCAAGCGACGGTATATTCCGGATATATTGACGAGGTACAGCCAAACATACGGTACCTCGTGGGCGGTTGCAGGGGTGGAATGGCTGCGCCGCGAGGCATAAGCAGTTGCCAGCGATCGATCAAGTGCCGGGTGTCAAGAATAGGGTCATGTATGATGTGGGGCCGTATAGCTGTTCGGTAAACTGTTGTTCAACCTCACCAGGAAATAATCGCTCCAAAACAATGGCCATCTGAATGATCTCAAATTCCCCCCCCCCCTTCTCAAACCGTAACCTCCATAAGCCAAACGCTGTTGAAGGGTAGTAGCTCCGCCTAAGAATTACTCGTTGCTTAGTCCCTGTGTCTCCGCTTCATGTTTCTGGGCTCCGATCCCGCCTTTCATCCCAATCGACTCAAACGGGGCCTACCCGCGCTACCTAGGGACTTCCGAGTAAATCAAACCCACCTCTTCTTTCTTCCACGCAAAATCCTCCCCCTGCTCCAAAGCTTCACTAGATGCCTCCGTTCTCCTTCTCCTCCTCCGACATAGACACCAGCTTGCCAACATCGGTGGTCTGTAAGAAATCTCGGATTTCTGGGCAGCACCACAAGTCGATCTAGTCGGTGGCTATGCGAGTGCGGCAGTGGCGGGGCCGTGGGCGGTCGTCTCCTGTGGCCCGCTCCGCTTCTTTTCAGAGCGTCTTCTTTTCCGCCCTCCACCTCGTTATGCTTGAACAGACATTCTTGGGTCTGAATGCACTGGTATAAGCACCATCATCATCACTCGATCGGTGAAAGTGCTTCCCCATATGGGCAATCCCAGACTACCGGTAGCACCGAGATGCTGTCCACCTGTCTGTCTTGCCGGGATTGGGTCCGGCTTAGTTTTCATCCGGAACAGGTAGGCAAACGCAACCACCGTTCAAACCATAACTGAGCATCTGACGGCTTCTTTTCCGAGACCCATCGACTGAGGTGCGTTAGGGAAACCGGGACGGGCATTGAGTGCTTAATGTACTCTACTTGTTGACGCGGGCTAGCCACTCGATTCCACTCTGTGGTTGTCGTGTTCGTTGGTAGCGATTTTGGCCTAGCCGTCAGCAAGCTCATCGCCGGGGATGCCCATATGTGCAGGGCGCCGATTGATCTCGATATCGATTGTTGGTTCTTGATTCCGTAGAGACTCGATCAAACTCCTTGCTTGTAAGGTGTAAATCTAGCTATGGCGAAGCTCATCATAGCCATTCGCTGAATTGCGGTCTGCGCATGTGTGGGGATGTGCTCTCTGCCAAGTTCCCTGCCGTTTCGCCCGGTTCGTTGCTTTGGCTGTGACGGCTACTTTTCTCGGGTTGAAATATATGGGTAGACAGATGATGATATGCTATTCGATACAGAAGAAGAACCTATCGTCGACAGCGAAGACCTCAATTTATGACTGAGAGGTCACTTAAGGTTGGCCGCTCATCAGAGTTCGCCGGGTCCGCTCATCAGACTTCGCCTGGCCATCGAGACTCTTCCACCGCCAACCCTTAACTCGTGCCGAGATCTCCGGGCGACCAAAGTTTGACATCTCGGATGAAGCTCCATAGGCCTTTCATTATACCTAGGACTGCTAATTCTTCCGTACCACCGAGTGCGCTGCCGCTACACTCTCATGCGGCGTACATCAGGTCGGGCGATACAGCTGTTCAATTATTGCCTGCATCAGGGAAAACATGTTTGCTTAAGCACGTAGTCGGCTGAAAGGCCACTCCCTCAACTATTCCGGACCATGACTCGGCCGCGCCCTCACCTCTTCCGGGGCCTCGACTGACCGTTCACTCAACCGACCGTTCACTCAACTCTTACGCGCCCTTGACTCCTCCGCGCCTTGACCCTTTTCGTTCATTGATTCTTCCGCGCCCTCGACCTGATCCCTCAACTCTTCCGCGCTGTCAACTCTTCTGCGCCGTCAACTCTCCCGTTTCGTCAACTCTCCGGTGCCGTCAGCTCATCCGTCGCTCTCTCCTCTCGCTGACAGCTCCTCCATCGCTCCGCCACACCGCGTAGTCGCGGCCACGGCCGCAAGGTTTTGTATTTTACAGAGCGTCACCGGGTTCATCGTACTGTCGCCTCCCAGGCAATTGCAAGCAGTGAGTCTCTGATTCTGTCAGACAGCCAGCTGAGTCTTAGGAATATGGCGTCCAGTCAACCATTGAAACTGTTTGAGACAAGACAGAACCAACAGTACTCGGGGTATGAAGGACCACAGGTTTCGCTAATCTGGGTTGGGGGTAGGGGGATGGGTACGCCAGTTTTCTCCATCGTCCGGTCCGTCCGTCCTGAGCCTCAAACAAGGATAGACAGCGTGCCTCCTGTCCGTCCGAGCCTAGGACGTGACCACCAAGGTTTTTTCAGCGGACGGACGAGACGGACGGCCCTGGACGACTGTCGACGACCGTCTGCTAAGCCGTGGGTAAATGTTTTTTGTTCATTCATTTCTTGCATGCGACCTATCTAGATCATGGCAATATCATCTACCCGTGCACCTCCCCGTTTCCACGCCACTTTCCAACCCAAGTTCCATCAAGCGGCCCGATGTAGGTTCCCCTGCCCTCCGCCCTGGCCTTTCCCGACAGTATATGAGCGCACCAAACAGAGGCAGAACCAGGAAGTGGCAACGATCGTTCCCTCGCCACTTCCGCTTCCACCACTCGCGCCGCCCTCGTCCCGCACCCACGCCCCCCGCACCCGGGCGCTCCCACCACCGAGCGAGAGGTTGAAGGTGGATTATGAGGTCACAGGACTGGCAGGGCACTCGCACCACCAAGCGAGACGAGACAGCACGACTGTGGCAGGGCACTGCCACCACCGAGCGGGACGCGACCGCACGAGTGTGTCGGGGCGATCCCGCCGCCGGGAGAGACGTGGGGAGTAGTGTGGCAGCGCGCTCCCGTCACCCCCGCGAGACGAGGTCTCAGGACTGTGGTAGAGCGCTCCAACCACTCAGCGAGAGTTTGGGAGTGGATAATGAGGTCGCACGACTGTGACAGAGCACTCCCACTACCAAGCGAGACGAGACCGCACGACTGTGTCGGGGCGCTCCCGACGCCGGGCGAAACGTTGGGAGGGGACTACGAGTTCGCAGCACTGTGGGGGGGGGAGGGGGTACAGGATTGCGGCAGGGCGATCCCGCCACCGAGCGAGATGTTGGGGGTCAACTAAAAGATCGCAGGACTGTGGCAGGTCGCTCCCAACTGCGAGAGAGACGTTGGGGGTGGACTACGAGGCCGCACGACTGTTATGACAAAAATGATTCCCGTGAATACGAAGACAGATGGCGTCGTAATCCGGTAGCCAAGCGATGGGAATTGGCTGAGCGGCTCCACCGTGGTGCTCTACAGCCCAGCAGGACCAAAATCTGCTATATCGCAGTCAATATTCGACTGTTTCTCTCGACCAGAGACTCGTTGGGACCCCTACGGTATGCATACTGCACTTGGCATATCGCTCGCTAGGTGTGACGCAGTTTACTGGTCGGCCGTAGACGATCTGGTTGCTCCACCGCCCAGCAGGACCAGAAACTGAAATATCTCAGTCAGTATCCGCCTGTTTCTCTCAACCAGACACTCGCTGGCATCCGCAAGGTGAGCTTATTCCACTCGGCGTATTTTTCCACTCGCCGTCTCGCTCCGTGGGTCTGACGCAGTTTGCTGGTCGTGCGTGGGCGATCTGGTTGCAGCGTCTACAGAACCAAAAACTGCTACTGTTGATGACACAATCACCTCTGAAAGGTACGTATCGGCACGCGTGCTACCGGATACTACTTCACTTCTGTCCTCAGCTATCGATTATATTCTCACCACAGTCATGCACGTAGCGGCTGGCTTTTCACCAGGGCTCTTCGCTGGCCTCGCCCATTGCACCCTACCCCCAATTTGACCTCGCCCTTGACTACCCGTTCTCCAACAGTTTCTCAGTCTTATCGCTCGCAGACGAACTGATCAGTTGGTGGAGAACCAGGGAGCCGCGCCCTGCAGTACCACCAAAACAGCAATTTGGGCATCCCCCAGCCAAAGAGCACCCTCAAATAGCGGTCCCACAGAGAACTTTTTCAGACAAGAACACTTCAACTATGCATGGGGATGGATGGCGTTGTAATCCTGTAGCCATACCATGAGAATTCGCGGACCGGCGCTCTCCAGTACCACCAAAACAGCGATTTCAGCCACCCCCAGCCCGAGAGCACCATTAAATGGTGGTCCCACAGAGAACTTTGTATGACTGAATTAGTTCTAATATGCATGGGAGTGGATGCCGTCGTGGTCACGTTTCAATCCGTTCAAAACTTGGGGCTAAAATTGGTGTATACCTCAAAATGATTGAGTGATACATGGTGACCAAAGATCAGCATCACAATTCATGATGGGCGGTGCACGAGAGATGTTTTGTGATGTAGATTGTATTCAGTGATATTTTATGACAGCTTTTACCACCCATCTACTCCAG